TCGAAATAAAAGTTCTCAGAAGTAAACCTATCCTTATAGGGTGCGTATACCGACCGCCATCATCCAACCGCGAATACGATAACGTACTCAGCAACATATTTAGTGTTGCATCCAATCTCCCCTTCAGTTATAATATAATTGGAGGTGACTTCAATTTGCCTGATATATCATGGCGTACACTTCGTGGACCCTCGAGGTATGATAATCTTCTTAATTCCATCATTACTGGAGGATGGACGCAACACATAAATGTACCCACTAGGTCCAATAACATTCTTGATCTTATATTCACGATCAACGTAGCACCATCTACAATTCATGTGGGACATGAATTCCCAGGTAGCGATCATAAAATAGTTGCATGTTCGTTTAACATTTCCCCAGAAACTATACACAGAAACGAAGTTAGTCGGACACCTATAAGACCATACACGCGGGTTGATTGGGACTTGTATCAGGACTTGATTAGATACTCTAATTGGGATTCCTACTTTACCAATGACTCCTTAGAGGAAGTCCTTAAAAACTTCTATGACAATATACAGTCGGTTAATGATGTCATAGCGCCTGTGAAACTGATTAAATTCAAAATCCCTCAAGGTGATTTTATTCCAATATCATTAAGAAGAAGTTTGCGGAAGCATTCATTAAGTTACTATAGACATGACGACTTATCGTCGTTAATCGCTATCAAATCAATCCTCATTAGAATCCATGAGTTAAAAAATCTAAGTCTTAGGAATAAAGAAACGCGGGCAATTCAGTCGCCACATAACACTGGAGAAATAGCCAAACTCTTCAAAAGTAGGTTAACTAACTCCAAATCAACATATCCAAAAATAATACACCTAGGTGGCATTACTCACGAAAGTGCTGAGGATATATGTGAGGTGTTTAGCACGCACTTTGCCAAACTGTACACTCTAGAAAATGACCAGGATATAGATTTCCCTCGTAAAACAGAAAAGTGTCTAAGCGATGTAGTCTTAAACGCCCAAGAAATCGATAAAGCTATCACAACTCTTAAGCTTACTAATACTCCCGGCCCAGATGGAATGTCTTCCGTCCTCTTAAAAAATGGTGGAAATGACATGAATCTACTTCTTCTCAAGATATTTTCAACTTCGATAAGGAGTGGAACATATCCAAATAGCTGGAAGAAATCCTACGTTGTACCCATTCACAAAACCGGACCTACAGCGGACATAGATAATTACCGCCCCATCAACATTACTTCCGTAGTTTCACGTGTGATGGAAAAGATTGTAAAGAAGCAAATTGTTCAGTATTTGCTCTCGAATGACTTAATATCCCCTTTCCAATACGGTTTCCTAAATAGAAGATCGTGCATTACGTGCCAGTTAGATTATTTCGATCACATTACTGAATGTGTAGACAAAGGTCGTTCGGCAGCAACATTATTTCTAGATGTTAGGAAAGCTTTTGATAAAGTCCCACATAAAAGACTCATACTGAAACTCCTATCTTATGGAATAAGTGGAAGGCTTCTTGAGTGGATAACTTCCTTTCTTACAGGAAGAGAACAGTTAGTTAAAGTCAACCATCACTTATCAACATCCAAACCGATAACCAGCGGCGTGATACAAGGTAGTGTTCTTGGCCCTACCCTATTCATTGTATTCATAAATGATATTGTCTCTATGATCAAGTATGGCAAGCCATACCTCTTTGCAGATGACCTCAAAGTTGTCTATGATTTTGACTATAATGATATGAATATTGTTAGTAAAATCCAAGAAGACCTAAATAGTCTATGTAATTGGAGTGAAAAGTGGCAGTTAACGTTCAATCCAGCTAAATCTGGGATAACATACTTCGGACGTTGGAAACCTAGCATGTGTCTATACATGTACGGTGACCTTGTCTCAAACACAAACACAGTCACAGATCTCGGGATAACATACTCAGATCTTACCTTTACTGAACATGCAAATAAGGTGGTATCTGATTGTAAACGTCTAACCGGCTTTGTGCTACGCAACTTTTACACTCCAGAAGCCAGATTAGCCATATATAAGATATGCATTCGCCCCAAACTTGAATACTGTGCCCACTTATACAGTAGCTTCAAATCAGCAGACAGAAAAAAGTTGAAAGTGTCCAAAGATTCCTTACGAAACGCATATTAGGCTATGGTCAGCAAATAGAATACCTTGACAGATGTATTCGACTGGACTTAGAGCCCTTATGGTTAAGGAGAGTGAAGTGCAATTTATTTCTCTTATTCAAAGTTATAAGAAAGCACTGTAACAGTAACTCGTCCATAACCTGGGCTAATCCTAAATCGTATGGACTACGCAACCACAACTACCTTCTCAAGGTTAACACCCATAAACTCACCACTAGAGCTAACTTCTTCACCATTAAATATTGCAAACTTTGGAACCAACTACCCTCTGAGATAAGATCCTGTGAAAGGCCTGACAGTTTCAAAAGGAGCCTAGAAAAACATATAAACATGTCCACCCTAGCCCGCCTCAAAGATCTCAACTGCTGGTAGAGTGGAGAGACAATGGCTTTTCAATATTTAACTACGGAAAGTACACTAGTCCCAATACCAATATAATAACACTTAGTAATTATGTAGGTTCAATACTTGAAATTCGATTGTCATTAAAATACTTAAAATGATTAAAATAGCTATGCGGCAAGTGTTCTCTTGCTTTACCATGCTTGTTTCCCTTATAACACTCAGTTATTGAGCCTAATGTATTCTTTGATAATACGAATTATGACACTGACTATGCTCTTATTATACATAGATTGATTTACTTTACGACTACCTGTAGTACTAACTACCCTTCTGTAGTATTGTTAAACAAATGCTGAAATTTTGTTGGTTCTGTTAATATCTTTTTATAATATGTTTAGACACGTTACTTTGCAATGTCAGATGTCTACTATATACAAGACTGTCATGATAATTTAGTACACTAAGTCCTGCCAACCGACCTTACCTTCAGTTCATACTACCTACATTGATCCCTAACTATATTGTTCTGCTGAATCTTGCTTCACTATTCACAAAACCTATTCTTTTTATTCTTTAAGGTTCTAACTTCTTGTAAAGTAATCTGTTCATTAGGACGCATGCATACATATATAATGTTCATAAAGATGTACGCGGAGACCTATTGGAAGCACTCATTAAGAAAGCTAGGGAGATGGAATATGAGGTACGAACATGTCTGGTACCAAGCAATATATTTGCGGTAGCCATAATAATCATAGTCTCAGAGCTTAACATCAAAAAAGGAGGGAGGGTGGCGTTAGCTGATCAGTAGATATGGTGGGGGTCACTAAGGTGAATCGCCCCATTCTGCAGGAACAGCAATATACAAATTAAAGGCTCGAGATATTTCTGATTTTTATGAGGGCTTAGATCTTTATCTTGAAAAAGATAATAATGAACGCCTTGACAGATCATGCTTCTACCTCTAAATATATACTATTCGCCCAGCCTATTGTTGAGATGCGACCATGTGGGATGTGCACAGTTTTATGGGGCATCTTATAAACTAACTTGCTGTCCATTGACTGATCTTTAAATACCACTTCACAATGTCTTATCTCATTCATTTTCCAATAACGTCTTTACTTGATCCTCATTATATCCCATTAAACCTAACATTTTACAGCTCTTTATGACTTATTATATTCCTACTCTCTGAAGGGTACGGTTGTACATTAAATGCACAAAAAGGTATAAAACAAAAACAACTGGCACAACTGAGGATAAATGTATTAAAACCAAAAGTGGACATCATGATAGTACGAGGTATACGTGTAGCATTATACATTGCAAATGAACGTTGTCAGCCTAGGGAGTTTTTTTTATTAATGCATTTATTAATGATACTTGCACTTACCTATTTCATTACAATTTAATGATTCACCTCAGCACTTTTACTTTTCTAAAACAGCTTTCAATCCCTTGTAAACGTTGTACTTACCTCAATATTGGTTGGTTATCGTATGCCGACAACCACGGGATGAAAACGAAACGAAGTCGATTTTCCCGCTCAACCTGGAGGACAATTGTACAATTCAATAACTATACAGCCTAGTTCAGACAATGTGTATTTATATATATATCAAATATTTAACTGTTGAAACATTATTAACTTGTAGACAATCTACGATTTGATATTATATCATACTTGATCGTGCCTGTAAAAATGGCATGCATTTTCATGTAAATTTATATGTTTATATGAGAATATACATTATTATTATTATTATTACTTACTGTCATGCAGAAGAATATTGCTCAGAATTCATTATTGACAGCAGGCAACCTATTTTATGTGGTTCTACTCTTAATTTTCTTCAGCTTAGTCACTGCTTCCATGTTTCTCATGCCTAATCACACCTTTGAATCATGTACGTGGTGGACAGAGCAAGTTGTTTTGAAGGGCATTGAATAAAATGAGGGATACTGGTAATTAAGTATATGCTGATGCTGATGCCCAATTGGATACCTCTCTGCATACGAAGCTTTCTCCATTCACCTTCGCACCAAACTTTGCTTTCTACTTATGCTCTTATTCGCGGAATCTGTTAAAAACCAATGATGTATTGTTAAACATCACTTGTACGACCAGAGGAATTTAAATCAATAGTCAGACTGGATACTGCATTTCTGCTCGGAGGATATGTCTTAAATACGTGAGTTTTGCTGCCAAGATTGTTGTTCAAATTTAAAGTGATAACACATCAAGTGCTTCGCTCCCATTACATTGATATTTCACTTTTTAGTTCGATTTTGATTGTTCTGTAATATGTGATGGTGAACACATCATGCACTGTTGAAATAAACTGACACTCCGCTAACTACATTGAAAAGAGCTACGACAAAAGATGAAAAATGCGGGAAAAAATTATCACATAACATTAAGCGTTAAAATTTCAGAGATCACCAGTCCAATGCAAACTTCTCACACTTGTCAGAAATTGGACATTCATTATGGCTGTCTGACATTCTGTTGGCATGACGTTAATTACCTGCACATTATTAAATAGTGACCTTGACATGGAAGACGTCGTTCGGAATGACAGTAGTTTCTTGAGACATAAAGTAAAATTACTAGAAATAAGCGATAGTTATGGAACAAATCTGTGAGTCACTTTATAAATTAAGTGACAGACGTATTCAACAGATTTCAACACTTGAAGAACTGTGTAAAACAAATGTTATCCCTTCAAAAGTCAAATGACTTCAGCGAATTCGAGGTTCTTAGCAGTCGCCTGAAAGTGGAAAATAAAAGGCACGGCTTAGAGGATCTTTTAGTTTCCAATCCTGCTGCTTTTTCAACGGCGAAAATTCAGCAGAAGCTATTCACGGTATGGTCCGTTCATTTATTTATTGGCATGTCCTTGAACAATTTGTTTTCTAGAAAAGTTCGGAAGATGATGAGGAGCCTGTTGCAGATGAAAGCGATGAACATCCATTGCCCAACGTAGTGGAAAATGCATTCTATTTTGAAAATGCAGGTATAGGAATCGGATGCAGCGAGACTGTTGCACTGAACATGGCAATTAAAGCATTGGTGAATACACAAGCTGTTCAGAGTGCACGATTTTGGGGGAAAATTTTCGGTTTAATACAGAATTATTACGTTGTCGAGGTGGAGTTTGCTGAAGGGGAAGACGTAGACGAAGAAGAGGATGCACATTCACTAAGCCAAGAGACAGCTGAAGTCTCTGATGAGAATGGGCCAGAAGGTTGGTGTTAGTATAATCTTACTTAAGATATGATCATATAATATTAAGGGAGCCATTTAAATACTGCACAATGCAATAAATTGACCATTATATCTGAAAATTATTTAAAGTTAGACGACTGACTGTTTTGATAATTTGACAAAGGAGGATCTGATATAGTTTTGAAGCATTCTGAGAAGACTTTGATTGTTTTATGCCAGGAATATCAATATGGAAAATGTTTCACATGTGTAGTATCGATCAAATCCTGAGGACACTTTTTGAATAATTTACTTTTGTTCACTTCACGGGTGAATTTTATGAAAAATTCTGTGACTTTGCATAGACATGAGGCACAATAATAGGATAAATTACAGTATACCAATAATATCAAAAAGAAGGATATACTTCGGAGATGTTAGGGGGAATTTTCTTGATTTTGAATACAATCAAATGCAGATACATCTGGATCATTGTGATTGGCACTGTTCTATGTAAGGAAGAGTCTCCAACGATTAATTTGTAAAAGCTCGATAATCTTATTTATACACTTCTGTATAGTTCAGACTAATAAACGGAGGCCTAATGACTTACTGACACGACTTTTTGGTGGTTCAAATAACATTACTTGTCGGTAAATACATTGGATTTTCATTTATAAAATGTCTTATTCACTCTACGCGACGAAAACTGACAACGATAACCCTTTCAAACAACACCATATAACTATCGTTAACTCCCCCAAATGTCTGATTTCCTAACATTCGGGTAATTTTTAATTTATGTCTCTCGATTTTACCACTGAATTTATTCAGAAATACAGTCCTATCTGACCCTGACTACCCGTTGTGACTTAAACCCTTATGAAATTTAAACATTAATCTGTGAATATTTAATTACAAACCTCATTGAAGCGCCAAATACCATAATATCTTGTTTTCAATATTACAAATCCGTTCATTCGGGTAGCAGACAAACGATTTTCAACTAAGAATCAGCCAGCTGATAGAACACCCGAAAAAGTGTGGAATATTATGTGCAAACGACTGATTGATGCTGTCTAAATATATTTTGCAGAAACAATTGAGTTAAAATATCCATATATTGGATTACAATCCACTTAATCACAGACTAACAATCCAAGTCATTCAGAAGAGCGAAGAATATATGCTTGGTTTCCGCGTAACAGCGAAATCCTATAGTTAGATACCTGAAAACATACAGATCGGAGGCAATTGTAGCGTTCCAGATGTTTCAAAATTTTGTCAAAGATTTGATTGTGTTATCGTACTGCTTTGCATTGCTTGACGTTTTTTCCTCATATAATATCACAGGGAAATCTGTAGATATATTACTTTTATTCACTTGTTTTTCTTCCTGATATTCTTTTGCTTGGTGTACAGGTATGAGACTTAGCGACGTAGATAAGCACATAGTGATGCGCGGTTCTTTATTGATAATGCCAGTCAGCCACTAGTTTTAACAAAAATATGTGACGTTATAACACGGATGACTTAAAACGCATAAGCCAAAATAGTGGTTTGATCTGCTATAACAAATGTGTACTGCTTCCATAATTTAGAGGCAGACAAAAGCCAAGCTGAAAATGAGGACATGGAAACACTACTTGTACAATTGTGTGGAAACAATACAAAGTTATCTCCTGTATTTTGAACAGAGCTATAGATTATTTGTAACTCCCATATGAAAATGTACATTAGCACGTGTAATTATTTGGTCAATCGACACATTGCTTTCTCTGAACCAACAGGATTTCAAGTCAGAGTCTCAATAATGCAGTGGTTTGAAAATGAAACGTCACGATTAAAAGCAATTAAACTAGTATTGGTGTGTTCAAGGAATTTAGATTTAGGCTTGGCATATCTATTTTCCACTTAGTCTAGAAGAATTTTGATGGTTTTCCATTAATTTAGCTGGTATGTTTATTTCCCGAATAATTATCTCTGTCAACAGTAAAATCTCTAATGAGCCGACATAAACTACCTTCATCCTACTCTTTTAACATTATAGTAGTGGATTCGCTGATTAAACAATAGTGGAAGGCTATGGAGGCGTCACACATCATTTTACGGCCAAGAAGCGTCTCATAAAAGAAAAAAATGAGTAATTTTGCTGCATCTCTTGTACAACAGTAAAATGGAATGTTGTGTCTATATAAGATATTGTTTAGACCTGTCTTCCATTGGCTGTAGAGCAGCACTTTTCACTCAGTCAGAATGTCATATTTATAATAGTTTTCAAAAACATACAAGACGTGTTTGTTTTGCTATTCACACATATATATACCACAGCCCAGTTAGTAGCGAATGTCCCCCTAGCGTATAAAACTCCACTTGAATTGGAGATAAAACTAACGCTTTGTAAATACCGAGAATTCGCAGGAGTTAGAATTCATGAGCCATTGGATCATGTCTAAATGGGCGAATGGTCTACGAGTCTGCCTTGTAACAGGAAGGTCTTGCATTCGAACTCCGATAGGTGCGTGCTGATAAAGAGCCCCCAAATAGGACGAAACATCTGTCCAGTACTCCCTGGTTTTCCAATGATTCTATCAGCACGTAATCAAACATGGAACTAATGCCTACCTAGTATTAATAATGTAAAAAATTCTCAAGTGGAAGAAATATGCGCATAAAAATTCCAGTAAAATAACAAGTCTGATACAGTAGTATTTTGACAGTTCAGTGACTGTATTTTAACCTATATGTCATAGTACATGACGCCAAAGGTTTAAGTCGGTTCTGCAAATATCAGCGCCTACTGGAAGAAAGTCAAAACTATGAGTAAAAGTCTGCCAGCTGGTCGTAAGTTTTCAACGTTTGACTGATTTATATTGAGTCATTTTGAAATCTCTACTGAAACATTTTAAAAATCTGTTTTCTAGATTCTTGCGTTTAAAAAGGAATAAGCATTAAAGCGATATGCGAAAAATACCATAAAGAACTCATAAGGTATTTTGCACTTTACTGTCTATGGTTATATACGAGTGATTATGCTTTGCCTGTTCAAAACACCACAGATAATTTGACTGTGGTAGTTTATCTCATTCTAAATTCAATCATAACAATAAAAAAGAAGTGAACAATTGCTCAGAACTCTCAGATTTTAAATATCGAGGCATTTTATTTCGGTTGTGTGTATACACCGGAGCAATATGATCTCTAACATTTAACTGTTGATGTCAAAAATGCCTTGTTGGAGTAAATATTCGCGGGTAGAACCAAGGTTTACCAACAACTATGTTTACTGAGACATAAATACAACTGTTGCTTACTTATTGGTACCTATTAACAAAAGAATACTGAAGGTCAATAGGAGTGACTGAAACTGTAAATATTACCATCATTTTGTTTTCGCTGTCTCGGTATTATCTTTTAGTATACTGAGGGGCGTGTATAAATGAGGTTCGGTAGTTTTGACCGCCTGGTTAATTCCAATCAATAACAGAGATAAGTGATATTACAGAATGCTAAGGTGTAATTAATACAGTGGGTGAGTTCATACAACAGTCTGATATGTCATATTGTATGAATAACCGATTTCAGCTGAAATGTTACAACCTCCTTTTCACTGACTGACTGTGCAGATTGAATAACTAGACTTTGACTCGAAATATATTAACAGAAAAACTCTACTATGTGATTGAAACGTTTATGAAAAAATGGCTACTGTTAGTTACTTTTTTTTCAACTGTGATATACAGTCTAGAATACATACAACTTTATAGTAACGTGTTTTAGACACCAAAAATTAAATGAAAATAACCTACCTACATAAATAATATACCAAATTGGGTAAGCATAGAGCTATATTTAATTTAAAATTCTGCGTTATTTTTCTATGAAGGCAAAGAAGAGTTTCCAAAATCTAAATGGAAGCCGCCAATTAAGATCCCTCGAGAGGAGAATCATGTTGGAACTAATAAGAAAGTTTATTTTGTCTGTCACGAACCAGGTCTACGGTGGATAAAACTACCACCAGTAACACCCGAACAGATAGTAGCTGCTCGAGCTGTAAGTCCCTGTATAATTTCAGTTACAGTGTAAGAATTTATATTTCGATATTTAACAGTGAACAGAAAATATTAATCTAGTTACCTTCTGCAAAATAAAATGGTTGATTCAGAAATTTGGATATTGTATAGAAAGTAAAGTAAAGTAGTAAATAAAAAAGTACAATCTTACTTTACACATCTATTAAACCCATTCGTTTACAATATTCTTCGGAATCTTGGATGGAAATACACTAGTAAAGCATCATTTATGAAATATTGTAAATAAATTGCTTGATTTCATCAATATTAACTGCTGTTTCTTTATAGGAATATGTTGTTAATTCTTGTTGAAGTAAGGTAGGAAATAATACACTAGACCGTTGAACAAGTTAATAAGCCGTTTATATCGAAGACATATTTGAATTTGAATGTGGTTTTCATAAAATACCAGGATGTCGGAGGCAAAATAGACGAAGTCTGTGTAATGTTTCTCACTTTATAGCTGAAATTTTCGACCATTTGAACAGGAAGACTGCTGTACAATATAGTGGATTGTTTCTTCTAACCTGTACATTGCTGCTAACCATTCAGAGGATATAACGTAACTAAAAGTTGCTTCTTTTGAATAGGTTTCCTAATGTGGACTAATATCACAAATGAATTTACTACTAAACATCCATTCAGAAGAGGTCACTGGAACTAGAACAGTTGTTTAGTGAATGTCCACTATACTCAATTCGCTCATTACAATATATTGCCTAAATACTATCGAAATATAAAAAATAACTTGTTAATGATTCATGAGTCGTAAGAGAATGTTTTAATTCGATTAAGGTGCGGCGTCTATTTACTGGCATATTGGATGCCCCAGTAGCCTGTTATCCACCTTTCCCTGGTACTGAAGCTAATTATCTGCGTGCTCAGATAGCTAGGATCAGTGCATCTACACAAATATCTCCAGCAGGATATTACACTATTGAAACGAACGAAGAAGAAGAGGAGCTTGAAAATGAAGAAGAAGGTGGACGGCAAAACTATATTAAAAATGAAGAATATGAACCATTAAGTATGAATGTGTTGGCTGATCCAAGTCTTGAACACTGGGTTCATCACACATCTTACATTCTACCACAAGGAAGGGTTTACTGGTAAGTTTAATAAAAAATGTTAAATAATATGCTTCTGTCTACACTTCAGTTACTGATTATTGAGCCTACATTTGAAATAAATGAATAACCCAAAAATTTAATTTGTGGATGGTGACTAGCAGTGGAATCCAGGATGCGCATTTCGTTCTATTTGGGACTCGTCAGATGGATGTGCCTGCATTTCCCAGTGAGTGATGGTATTAACACCGAGGCTCGAACCCAGTGCCCTTAGTTTCAAACGCCAAAGATTTATCCACTAGACTACCTTTTTATTACAGCTTGATTCCGCACTGTATTTTTGGTACAAGTATGGAATTTTCAGCATGGATATCGATAGCCCAAATTTTTCAGGCCAACCATAGATATCAGGTGTGTGTCGGCAGGGGTCTAACCTCGGACCACGAGAGCCACCTCTTGTGCAACGCGTTATATCAATTGAATTGAATTTGAGATTTTCCCGTCGATTGGTTGGACGAAGCTGAGACCGAGCACGTCGGTCCAATCAATCGACGGGTAAATCTCAAATTCAGTTAAAATAACTCTTCATTATCACACAACACAACTAGATGTTTTCCAACTAAATTAAGAAGTAAGCACAATCAGTTGTGTTTGTCAGAGAAACCATTTATCATGTACAGTTCAGTATGTTATGCGATTTCATCTCAGACATTTCAGGAAGCAGTAATTAGTGATAATATCCAACAGCATCACATTCAAAGTATGATATATCATCACAATAATATTGCAATCAAAAATCTACATCTACATATGTGTAGAAAATTCTCACAGTTTACTAGTTGAAGTATTTAATATGCCTTGTTTTAAATTTCCTTATCCGACTTCACATTTATTCAGGTGGAACCCGAGGAAAGGTTTGGGGGAAGACTTTGATGAGTTCAACGATGAAGAGGAAGAAAACGAGGAGGAGGATGGTAATACAAAAAATGCAGTGAAACCAGAACATGGACCACCTATACTTACACCAATTTCATCTGATTTCCCTATATTTGGACAAAAGCCTTGGTCAATCAAATTAACTTCCAATTTATTACCTGAGTATGCATGTGTTGTTATATCATCAAATCTTTGGATTGGAGCGCATGCAGTTGCTTGGGGCAGGTAAATTATAAAAGGATTTTTCCAATTACGCCTTTATCAGTAATACGCAACACTGCACTTCAGTCTCACAGATACTGAAAAAATAATTCCAGTGTTTCGTTAGACAAACTTGTTTCAGCGTCGTTGTGATTTCATAAAGCTACCCTTTTATCCACATTTGGTTTTCACTCAGATCCCGATTTGGAGAACCATTAGGTCGTAAAATGCAAAATAAGTTTAAATTTATGAAATATTTTTATGTTCCAAAATGTGTAAATATCTAAGAACTACTGTTACGTACTGCTGAGTAGTTAATTGTTCTGGCGCGAAAAGGGGAAATTCAGAAGGCCACCACGTTCACGATGATACGTGTATTTTCCAACAAGGGAAATTGATTGTCACACAAGTGTGTGAGTGAAATGATACGTAGTGTACGAAAAGTGTGAACAAGTGTGTATATAAAAGTGTACAATGCAGAGTATATATGAAAATGACTATTATACATGAACCAATAAGACAGACACAAGTTTTTCTTAACACCATTGGATTCTGATTGGTTGTAATGTCATGTGACAAAAACGTCAAACATTGTTTATTTAGTTAATGGACGAACAAAGCATATTGTGAGTTGCAGTGGAATATCGATCAAAATACAAAATAGCAAAGTATATCAGACTATCAATACAAGGAAGACATCATGTGACCACATATCAACTACCCCACATATATAGCAGGAAACAGAAAATTTCTCATTATTCTAAAACTCAATCGCCAGTGTTTAAGAGTGTCCCCGAATTTTTCTGTTTCATTAACTGAGATTTCAGTTTACACGTATTTCTGGCTTGAATTCTTAGCCTAACTACACATCACTTAAAAGTAGAACAGAAGGAAGGATATAACATCTTTTACATGTAGCATATATCTTTAAACCAACACGTGTAAAGCATGAAAGCACTAAGGCTATGCGAAATTTTGTCCAGAAAACTATTTACTCAGTAGAGAAAGTACATTATTCAATAATAAATAGGCTAATTTATCATATAAAATATGTTTTACATAAGGATGTTGTGGCAGAACATGAACTGCAGAACACTATGCTATCAATAAGAAGGCTGATTCTCTGTAAATGTTTCAAAAGAACAATTTATAGTCAGACCAGAAGTGTTATGAGTTGTGATCAAAATGTAGTGATATTAAATGAAGGCTTTCTACCTTTTTAGCCAATAATATCAAGTTTGAAAAACCAAGACTCACAGGTTGCAATATACATGCAGAATTTCTGTGCTACTAATAATTTAAACAATATTACACAGATTATCTATTATTTGAGTAGTTTTCAAAATTAAGGTACAGGACTGGAAACAAAATGTTCTAAACATATAATGAGCTATGTAAACTCTTATGGCGCTAAAATTAACTAAACAATGGGCTGCAACAAAAAAATTAGGCAAGAATAGGTTAATTTGTCAAAGTAAAATATTTTTAAGTTAAACACTTTAATGATATTAGATGGTTGGTGGCGACCGGCAGGAGGCCTTGGACCTAGGTTTCGTGCTAGTTGGCAAGACGTGTCTGCAACCTTGAAAGAACACGTGTACCTTCAGAGATTCAAACCCGCGTCACTCAATGCTGCAGTCAGAGACATTACCACTGTGCTTTTCAGGCTCACGATTGACCTCCTTCCTATAGAACTGTATTGGATACTTTGATTGGACACCAGCAACTAGTGTGATGTGTCTAGTCCTTTCTTTAGTGCAGAATGAATTCTCTCAGTCAGTTTTGCAATGTTGTCACCATTCTAGGTAGCTTGCCAGTACAGTGCACATTGATTTGATGATATTAGATGGTTGGAGGCAATCGGTAGGAAGCGTTAAACTAAAATGTGGAAATCAATCCATACTATTATTTTCCACGTAATTTTTCCCAACTACTTTATTAGTCAGCATACAAGTAGAAAATACTTTTCCAATTATTCGGGAGTGAGGTGAACATTTCTCCTCCTAGAAGATAATGAATAATTAAGCAGTTTTAATACAGTTATAAATCGTTGTTCCAAAGGGTTCGAATTTACAGAAGATTCGATACTTGGAACTTGTGAAAACAGTATGATATGCCTAGTATAGTTTAGAACATTGTTAATCAGTGGCCAAAATAGGAGCATAACAGGTATTTTGCGTTTCTTCACTGGTATACCGTATAACATTTGAGAAAGCATCATCAAAACCTACTGATTATCCATAAAACCCGTGAAGTATGAAGTAAGTACTTCTCTTCACTGTTTTCAATTCTTACAAATTGTTTACATCACTAATGTCTTTCATCACTATTACAAACATTTGATGAATTTTTTTCTCAGACGTTTTGAAAACATCTACATTGGTTGGGGCGTGAAATCAGTGATTTCAGGTTTTCAACCTCAATTACAACCAATTGAAATGAATGAATATCAAGAAATGCCTGATTTAAATGAAGCCACTGATCCAACCCCAGCAGAAGAGAGCGCATTAAGAACACTGCTCAATCCACTTGAAGCCGAAGATGAAACGAAAGAAGAACAAGAAGAAGAGGAGGACGATTGATGAAATGTATCACGAAAACACTAAGAATAATTCAGTTGAATGGACAGGAACATTAATTTGTCAAATTTTTTTTATACTTCTAGTGAACATTTTTATTGTGCATATCATTTTGGTTTGTTTTGTAGCAAAATTCATGAATATCGTAGGAAATATTTCAATTTCGCACCGTTTGTAACACAGGAAAACAAAAATGAGTAGAAATTTTTGTACGAATATATATTAAAGGCTTCAGATGTTGGAATAATGCTTACGAGATATCATAAAGTAAACATGTTCGATGAGTTTGTAAATAACAGAGTATCATAAGTGAAAAATTGTTTTTTTCTGTCAAGACATGCCACTAATAAAATCAAACTGAATGAGTGATAATCCCACCAATTTTTTCGAGACATTAGCGGTAAACATTGTTTCTACAAGAAACACATCCTAATGACTCTAAGACTGATAACTCAAAATAATTACCGTGTATGGTCCATCCCACTTTGGAAGCAGTTTGCGTGCCCCTGGCGCGTACTCACCTCACACTATCAAATACTGCCTTCGCCCAACCTCTCAGCAGCGATCCAAGTAAAAGTCTTTTCGCTGATGGATCATCAACGCCAATCAACTCCGCAACAGCCTCGAAATCCTGCAACAAGATCCATAAGTCTCCTTCTTGAAAAACTGCAGGGCATAGGCTTTTCATTTGTCAGCAGGCAGTGACACCAAATGTAACAGTAGAAGGCAAGACACGGAAGCAAACGTACACTTTTAATTGACCAAACCACTATTTATAAATCGAATTTCTAAATACATATTGTATTCTGCTCCTAATGTAGTACTGAACCGTGGGAATATATGAGAATAATATTCCGTTGGAACACATTGTCTGTATCACACCACCACAGTGTTATCGTAACTATCTGGTTATTCTTGATAACTTTCGGAAATAATCTGTGTTAAATAATTTACTAGACAGTGATAAGAGGTTTTAAAATCCCATGCAATACAAGAAATCAGTAAATTCTGATGTATAGAATACAAGACAGAAGCACATTAAATCTCAGTATTCTTTTAACAATCGAATTTATATTAAAATGATTACAGCAGAAAAATATTTAACCATAGCAGAAACAATCCTTCAACAGTCAATAATTCACTTGTTTGATTTCATATTACAGATGATATGCATTCCATTCAGAAGTTCTCCATACGCATAAAATCAATTTTTCAGAAATGTCTTACACAGTTATTGGAAATTATTCGTTAAACTGAAGAGAAACTAAGTCAAGATAACAATTTGAATATATTATTTCTCCGTAATTCTAATGTAATTCACTAGCCATGTTTGTGTACACAAAATTGATACTAAAATAAACACGAAAACTGTTGAATTAACAGATCATGCATGAGAAATTAATCTTCTCGGAAATCCTCCAGTTTTAATTATCAAACTACATAAGATATGAAAAAGATCACAATGAAGAAGAAACACAAAAACCTGACAGACATTGAAGGGAAGAAACGTATAAAGGGCAAAAACTACAAATTAAGGACTAATCATCAATGAAGACGACGAGTACAAATTTCAACAGGAATAGAATGAAGAAAAGTTGAAGTTGATAAGAACACGGTGAATGGGAAAAATTGAGAAAAGGATGGAAAAGTACAAATAAAGAGAAAGGAAGATGAAAGAGTGAACGAAATTGGACAGACTAATAGTGTACTTATTGGTATAAGCAGTCGTCTGGCAATGTGAATGGATCGTAGATTACATTTCAGCCTGTCTTTAACTCTCCGTGTGCAGTTGCTTCTAACCAATGATTCTGTTACTTCATCTACACACTGGCGTTAACTGTTTTACGTCATCATCGCGAAACTCGAATGTATTTCACTTCAGTTTTGAAATTTGCATTCTCAACATCATTCTGTGCTATCAATTATCGTCTTCTCAATTCTTACAGGGTTTATTATGTGTTGTATAGTTTCTTTCACAGTTGATGTTCTTTCTCCTAAATAAATGAAGGAATTAGTCACTAGTTTGATAGACTAATGCAATTTGTTTTGCTTCCTTTTTTTAGTGGTGTTACGCTTTGATACATTGTGCTCTACTTAGAGGTAGCAGGACTTCTCAGGCTATTTTCTCACAACACAAATTTATCTTCCGAAATCATAACGGTAAGGTATCTTAGAAACCGCTACTTTGGTACATATTCAAATTACACAAAATAAAGAATAATACGTAAATGTCCCACAACGATAGCCACTTACACTTAATGACTTAAATATTTATAAACTGCAGTATCGAAAATAATGTGTACTCCTCAAAGAAGTGAAAATAATTAAGAAATGTATCGTGTTTGTTATTACGTAAGATTAGATCAATTTGATTTTTACTAGTAGTACCAAAGTACGAAGTTCTCTCGCATTGAATTGTGCTTTCGAAGGATGGACAGATTCTCGTGTTAGCCAAGAAGGAAGAATCAATTGACGACTTTGTGAAGCTGCATCTTTTGAGATGGCTAAGACATGTGTTAAACCCTCCTCGTGTGGCATTTTCAGCTGACACCGGATTAAGTTGCAAAGAGTTAGGGGTGGTCAAATCGAAACATGGAATCAATTCTTGAAGTTCATAGCTTTTGGTTTGAATCATGTGAGGAGAATAGACTACTTGCCTGAGGTCTTCAAGACGTTAAGATCTCATAGCTGAAAACTGTTGGTGGCATAATTCAAAATCGCTTCCCAATGGCTCAGAAGCACTCACTCTACATGAACTCCTATATCCATCAAATTTTCTCACTAGCACACTTGTCAAGATCATTCAACATTTATCACTTCATATTATTTTCAGAAAGCGAAAGAGGAAAGGAAATTGGAGCATGTTCGGAACTGTTTGCGATTCCTCCCAGACCTTTGCTTCGTTTGGTCAGTGAGCACACTGACCGACGATTTAGCACTGTAGTTAGTGTTAGACGCTGGCACTGTTGTTCAGGTGAACTGGCTTTGCGTACCGCTCTACCTAGCGTTCCAGGCGTCACAGACTGCTTTGCTAACACCATGTTTCTTGCTCCCGTTGGCTTGGGTAATTTGGAATAGCTTCAGGCTATTGCCAGAATCAGTTGCTGATTCCATCTCACACGCAGCGCAGATTCTGGTGTTTAATATGTTTGTGATACACAACTGCAACCCAACACATCACGATTTATCCTAATTAACCTACCTATATTCCGTTCCAAATAAACGATGACCAAATCCAGGTGTGTGAGAGTAGCTGCTATGTCAGTCAGTCGTCTATATTACTTATGACTCATTCAAACATTAGGTTTGCGCGCGGGGACAAATACTCACTAGAGACATTGCTAAGAGTTGAAATACACCGACATATGATTATGAGCAACAAAATCCTGTTCAAAACGTCATCAGTAAATATTACTGTATAACACTGTGAGACTTTATCAAAATAAATTTTACCCATAATGGAATACACCGACACACTGAATTTCGACTACGTGGCTTAGTGGTAACATGTTTCTTTTATATATGCATTGGGGTCACTTTTTCGCAAGGCTGTGACTGTGCACCAAAACAACACTGGTCAGAATTTCTGTCTGAATACTGACATTACTTGAGATAAAATCAAGTATAAGAGATAAAAATTCTATGCTTGTGCACAGATGAGTTAGAATTGCTTTATTATGTGTAAATTAACACATATGTCAATTAATACCCCATAATTTTTACGACGAATTTAGATTTTATGTAGCACAGAAGTTCTACGAAACAACACTTGCTTCAACTAATTAATCTATTTTGATTATCGGATATGAACTACTGTAATTCAGAACCAAAGTGTAACTGGCGTCATAGTTACATGCATTGAAGATATTTACTTTCTGAAACTCTTTATTTCAGATTATAATGCCAACACCCATCGCGCATACTTCTTATTGCCAACCTCAGAAGGAAAAGCGTAATTCAAATACTATGTGCATGTTCATGAATTTGCAATATACCAAAAGTATTGCCAACACTTTCGTACAGCTCAGTTAGGGTGTTAGCTTAGAAACCAATGGGCCACAGCAGCTTGAGAACCATCTGCAGTCCAAATCAATACAGTTTAGTGACTTAGAAAGAGATAAAAAAGGAAGACTCTGCACAAAAGCGTATCAGTCCAAACTGAAGCATCTCGTTAGACAGACAAACTTGTTTCAGTATCGTTGTGATTTCACAAAGCTACCTTTTTATGCACATTTGCTCTTCACTCATAGCCCAACTTTACGGAACTCTTAGGTCATATCTGGATCGCAGTTGACGTAAAATGCAAAATAAGTTTGAATTTATGAAATATTTCTATGTTCCAAAATGTGTAAGTATCTAAGAACTACCCCACAAATATAGCAGGAAACAGAAAATTTCTCATTATTCTAAAACTCAATCGCCAGTGTTTAAGAGTGTCCCCGAATTTTTCTGTTTCATTAACTGAGATTTCAGTTTACACGTATTTCTGGCTTGAATTCTTAGCCTAACTACACATCACTTAAAAGTAGAACAGAAGGAAGGATATAACATCTTTTACATGTAGCATATATCTTTAAACCAACACGTGTAAAGCATGAAAGCACTAAGGCTATGCGAAATTTTGTCCAGAAAACTATTTACTCAGTAGAGAAAGTACATTATTCAATAATAAATAGGCTAATTTATCATATAAAATATGTTTTACATAAGGATGTTGTGGCAGAACATGAACTGCAGAACACTATGCTATCAATAAGAAGGCTGATTCTCTGTAAATGTTTCCAAAGAATAATCTATAGTCAGACCAGAAGTGTTATGAGTTGTGATCAAAATGTAGTGATATTAAATGAAGGCTTTCTACTTTTTAGCCAATAATATCAAGTTTGAAAAACCAAGACTCACAGGTTGCAATATACATGTAGAATTACTGTGCTACTAATAATTTAAACAATATTACACAGATTATCTATTATTTGAGTAGTTTTCAAAATTAAGGTACAGGACTGGAAACAAAATGTTCTAAACACATAAAGAGCTATGTAAACTCAGAATTTCAAACACACGGCCTATACTTTCCTGCACAGCTGAAGCCGACGATCACAAAATTCTAGAGAGACTACGGCTACAGCTTTTTGGCAACATGATCTTACTACAATCAGCATTCGTTTTTTAAACATACGTATCAGTAATCCCAACCAAAATTATACAGCCATAATTTCACCCATTAGGAAGACAAGGACTCAAAATAATGTAAAAAGGCGAACAAGTATTGTTATTTAAAACAATTAGTTCCCTTTATGAATCTAGATAAAGAAATAAGAAGACGTAATTTGTTTGAATCGTGTAATGTATTTGCGCAACACATTTCGAACAATCTGATCACACGCGGAGGTCAGGAGTGACAAAATAGAATTAGGTCAGGTTAAAAAGACATATTCAAGTTCAAAATAACAAACCAAGTCGTAGAAAATAGAATTACGTCTTTTTATTCAGCTGCTCAAATAAGTATAAAATTATCTCGATATTTAAAAGTTAAAAATAGATGGTTGGATGAGAATGAATTGCCGAGAAAATAATGGGAGTAAGAATATTCTGTAGTAGAATGAGTGATGATTTTTCCTCGTAATGGTAGGGTAAATAAGCATTTCCCAACAGAAACAAAATCATGTAAGTGAATGCATAAATGAAGATGAATACAAAATGGCCACTTTAGAAAAACAAAAGAAGTGGTTTGAAGCATCCGGAATCAAATGGTTAAAAAAATAATTGATAACATATATTGGTGACTGGTCAGCATATTGGTTTGTAGCGGGTTTAAAAAAATGACACACACAGTTACAATTTCCGACTACGCACTTGAAAAGCTAATTTACAACCACGACTATACTTAACTGGACCCCGAGGCATACTAGGCAGATTTTCTTCATCACCGTTGGATGACTTTATGACAGCACGAGCCATCTCAATGGCACCTTCACGTGTTCTGTTGACGCCTAAATGACCACCATTATGAACGAAAATACAGTCTGATATTCCAGTTATTGAGCATAAGTCATTGTCTCGAAGTGAACGCCACTCAACCGGAAACGGTAACCTAGTAAAAAAATTCAACAATAAACAAAACATTGAACCTAATACAAGTATTGATTTCAATCAATAAACTTCATGATAAACTCGATAAGAATTAACGATAATGTCCACAAACATATAGAAGAAAAGGCTATATAAACAAATAAAGGTCAGTATTAGGAACATGGAGGACTCCAGAATACCTTTGCATATTATAGGCCACAACATAATTGCTTTCATACTGGAGCTAGTGTTTGCCAAACCATTCTTATATCACATCCTGGTTAGCACATTAGGTCCTACGACCCTCCAAAAACCAGGTACTTTCGTCACTACCTTATGTTAGATACTGTTCATATGCATCAGTGACATTAACTATTTGGTGTGGTTGCTTTCGCTCTTCCTCTGTTCACATTTTAACTTGAGCGTGCATGTCCTCCATCTGTCCACAACTGCTTTTCTTGTACTTGTCCACTTAGATTATCTTTCATTAAAATAAATAAACAAAAATCAATACACGAAGATAATTGAATTATTCCATAAAAATTCATGTTAAGAAGAGTATCCAACGCGCGACTTCCTAGCAAGTTGAGGACTCTAGTCATAAACTATGATTGCATATGACTATCGTTAACTTTATCCTGACGTAATACTAACTGCAGATAACACTACTTATCGAAGTATGTGTTTCAACCTCCACAAGCGATGAACTATCTCAGTCTCGTCGGGTGAATAACACAACATCTAATGCCAATAAATTGCGTCGTATTATCTAACATGAACAACCGAGTGGAAGCATTTATCATCAGAAACTTGTCTACCTTTCATTGCTTTTACATTTCAAGACTGTCACAGTCGTAAGGTAGCAGCGAGCGAATGGCTTTTAATAAGTATCTGGATATTTAGCTGGCAACAAAGATAACATCAGTTCACATATACCAAACAAACCTTTCGCATCTCCCCTGAGATTTAGCCAAAAAAAAGTATATAACAATTAATGCAACTTCTCAAACAAGTCAGGTGGTCAACACCGGAGATTCGTGTGAATCTATCCTGTGGCATTATTTTATAATGGAAAAAAACGAAACACATCTCAATTGTACTAAGTTTTGCACAGAACTGCATTGTGTTAGCGTTATCTAGCCGCACAACATACTGTCCTCAGATTTTCAGTTAGTAACAAATTATTTACTCAGTAATTGAACAGACCACCCTGCATCAGAACATCTGCCATGAGAGTAAATATCAACAGTGATTTTCGGCATCCGTGGAGGAAGCCGCCAGATATCTTCTATCCGGACGACAACTCTTCACTGGTTATCACATACCTGTAGGATACCAGTAGGATATGCTGATTTATCGTCACTTTTTTGCAACCTAACATTGCTACGATTCCTCTTGATAGATGAGGACGACTGACGCTCTCCAATCTAAAAATATTATAAATGTATCCTACTAAACATATACGTTCCTGAGAGCGTAGAAGTATGAAGATTTGATCAGTGATCTGTGTTTACGTACAAAGCGTAGATAGTTTTCCGGTCTGCTTTTTTCATGCTTCACTGAGTGTTTCTACGACTTTGAGCCCCCAGAGTTTGAGATAATATGTAACTCAAACTGATCTCGCCAAGAATTAATATTTGCAACTCGGGATGAACAGAGAAACTAATCAGCCTACCTTGAACTTTAGTCTGTGACAGTACATGTTTTATGTGCAGATTTGGTGATAAAGTTTGGTTATTACAGAAAGATTTCCTTTTCTCCTACACGGAATCATCAGTGATACATGAGAGTATGATGTAACTTTGCCGAATTTCAATACTTCAATTGATACATTGCGAATTCTAGCCAATAATTTTCTACCAATACCCTAAAACTGTAGTAAAATTAGATAACCAAGTCCTGCAAACTGCCTCTTTTAGAATTACTGCCTTTTCTAGAATTTTTCAACTATATCTAGAGTCGGGGGCACAATGTTTACGTTTTGTTCACGGAGGGATTGGATAATGGTAACTTTCAGTCATTTGAACTCTACGTCAAAATATTTTGCTCAGTGTGTCATCTTTTTCTAGGATCTCTAAACTTACCAGTTTTCTGTAGTTTATGCCACTAACAGAACCAAATAAATTATGGACATTAGCTAAAGCTGATGTTTTTTACCATTTGGTTTACTCTTGGAATCCACAACTGTTTACAGTTGTTAAGAGCACTTTAAGTAAGACGTTTCAGCATCGTTCAGTGTTTTCAAGCTTAGGGCTCAATAAATCATTTAGGATAAGACATAAAATACCATCCACTTTGCCTAAACTTTAGCCGAAACTTTTTAGGATAAGTACCATTTTAATCTTTAGATAAACTTCTAACCAACTCCACTTCAAATACAAACTCAATATATTATGCGTTCAACAGAAGACACACGTATATAACAAATTAATACATGGTCACGGTCCAGGAAAACTCAGAATACGAAGTATTTTCCATAACCAAGGGTAATGGGTTTTCATCATAGGTTGCCAAATGAAATAATGTGTCATGATTTCTGAAATCCATGTCAACTAAAAACCGATGGTTTCAAGAAATCATCACAATCGCAGTTTTGTCGATACGGTAAGCAGTGTGTTTCTCCAGCTAACTTAGCTCCCATAATTTAGGAATTAAAATTATCTGCTGGTGTGACGATCGTTATCTTTTTTTCAGCAATCTTGATAGTGTCTCATAGGGACCACTCTTCACATAGTTACAGCTACAACGTTAAGTTTTGTAGGCAGAGACAAAAGGAATTAGCGAGTATTGTATCTTTCCCTTTGCCATGATAGCATACAGACAACTGGCTATTGCTCTCGGGTGCGACATTAGGTTATATATTCTAGAGCAAATGAGTCTTACTACCAGTAAGTTTACTAGGACATCTAAGTGATTTGTCTGACGCCTGTAGAGAGAATGACAATTTCACCGTTTCCAGGTGGACTGAAGTAAATTACAGAAGCACATCTATAAACCCAAATGCCAGATTTCCAATTAGCTGGATAAAATAATGGATAATATCAGGCTTTACAAATAATAAACCACTGGCTTTATAAAAATCATCTGAATATAGGGAACATGGCAAGTGACCAGGTTGTAGGCTTTATCATAGATAAGTTATATCAATCTATAATAATTCTTGGATTTTTCATGTATTTATTAACATCCCAGCGTACTGACGAATATCATTGTTTCTGACTGTCTATTATTTTTTATTATTAGTATTGTTCCTTTGGGTTCAGAGTGTAACATAGGGCTTCAACAACACATCTCCACTTTACTCTATATTCTGCCACCCTCTTCAGCTAGATCCACGATCGCTCTCATCTCTTCCTCACATGATCTCATCCATGTCACCCTAGAACGACCCACTTGTCGCTCCCCATTTGGATTCCACTCGAGTGATGGCCTGGCGCGATGTCATTCGACGGCCTCTCCAATGTATGCCCGATTCATTTATTTTTTCTGACATATTTGTTGGGCGATCGGCTCTTCGTTGGTTTGTTCCCACAGTCTCTTCTTACTAATTCTTTCTGGCCATTTGATCTTCAGCATGGAACTTATGACTGTTTACATATCCCTACTGTGTAACCTTCCATAGCTGACAGTCACACCAGCGGGCACCCCATAACCGTTTCATTTTTCAGAAACTCAACTGGTTTTAACTGTTGAAGGATACTTTGCTCACAAAGGACGAAAAACCAAATGCGCATTTCACCAAGCATTTAAAGTCTAGTTCACAGTGCATCAACCATGACAAAAATAAACTGCACATGTCTAGATCCTGTTGGTGTGTATTAATACTAAAAGCGGAAAATCTACACAGTTCTACAGTTAGAAGAAAGGTGCCAACCATCAAAAAGTGAAATAACAGTTATTTGTAAGAGGACATATTAGCCTACCGTATTTCAAACTTTTCTTTTGGAACGCCTTGAACAACCCAATTTCCATCTGACGGTAGGACAACGAAGAGAATTTTCGGAGGAAATTTCGGTATTGGGCGAAAACTTGCCAGGCGCAGTGGTTCGGGATATACAGGTGTTTGCATGCGTTCTTCGCGCTCCAGATCAAACAGATGACTTTTCCATGGACACGACTTCTCTAACACTATAATAGTTTTTGAAGGATCAACATCTGCACGACATTTCATTGCCTTCTCCACAATATTCCTAGCAGGCCACCAGCAGTGGGCAAAATAGTCCACAATATCAAGGAATTCTCTATCCACTAACTCAAGGGCCCGACAAAATGCGGTCTGTTTGTAAGGTGGCAAAGTAAAACATTTTAAGATACATACATTTAATTTCATAAATGAAACAAGATGGTAAAAAATCACTCATCAAACATTGTCAGTAAATTTAAGGCGTATGCATAACTGTTGAGTGCTGTGCAGAAAAAGACTGAAAAACTTTCTTAAGTGCAGTGTGCGTCAGCGAATTCCAAATGTAGTAGGTGTGGTTGACTCACGAACATCCATGAACATTATAAAACAAGGAATGAGGTCATTTTGGTATGGCAGTGCTGAAAGTGGTCCCATAATTGCTTCACCGACTGAAGCCATACTAACCAGGTGGTATTCTCAGACCTCATAAGTGGTGTTTAACATGAAGTGGGCGTAAACAGGTGTATTGAATAAAATAACATTTTACAGAATGTAAGATAAGAAGTTGTATTAGCACCAACGGACTGATTGGCGATGAAATCTCAGCACGGATCCGAAAAGCTCGAGCTGCTTTCGCTGACTTACACCATCTCTGGCGTAGGCGTGACATCCGGTTATCAACCAAGGGACGTGTGTACTGCTCATCAGTTCGCTCCGTCCTTCTCTATGGCTCTGAAACATGGCCAATACGCGTTGAAGACATGAAAAGGTTGACTGCTTTCGATCATAGATGTCTGCGATCTCTGTCTCACGTTAGGTGGTTTCACAAGGTAAGTAATGTTGACGTTAGGCGTAGAGTGTTGGGCAAAGAGGGAAAATCAATCGACGAGGTTATAAAGTTACATAGACTAAGATGGCTAGGTCACGTGGTGCGCATGCCTAACCACCGCCTCCCCCGACGGGCATTGTTAGCTGATATAGGTTCAGGTTGGAAAAGAGCCAGTGGTGGCCAAACAAAAACATGGCCTCATCAATCCATGAAATCCTTGACAGTTAAACTGAGTCAGGTAGGGAGATGCAGACTCCCGGGTTGGGGCCCTCGGGACTCTAGGAATCAATGGCTGGAGACAATAGGTGACATGGCTCAAAATCGTTGTCAATGGCGCAGATGTATTCAATCTCTGTAATCTTTCATATTCCTTTCTACCATTACCCATTCTGTTTCACTCCTATATTTGTCAAACTCTATTAATTCTCTCCACTCATCTTCTTGTCTACCTCTGTGTGCTATTTGGAACGTGGCAACTCGAACTGCTGCACTTCGGTGCCAAGTTCTATGTTGAATCCAGACAGACAGAAGATAATCCAAGTGGACAAGTACAAGAAAAGCAGTTGTGGACAGATGGAGGACATGCACGCTCAAGTTAAAATGTGAACAGAGGAAGAGCGAAAGCAACCACACCAAATAGTTGCCGAGATTACTATGAAGTTAATATCGCTGACGCATATGAATAGCATCTAACATAAGGTAGTGACGGAAGTAGGGCCTAATGTGTTAACCAGGATGTGATATAAGAATGGTTTGGCAAACACTAGCTCCAGTATGAAAGCAATTATGTTGTAGCCTATAATATGCAAAGGTATTCTGGAGTCCTCCATGTTCCTAATACTGACCTTTATTTGTTTATATAGCCTTTTCTTCTATATGTTTGTGGACATTATCGTTAATTCTTATCGAGTTTATCATGAAGTTTATTGATTGAAATCAATACTTGTATTAGGTTCAATGTTTTGTTTACTCGTTTATTGTTGTAAACTTCTCATTTGAAACAGTAGGAATGAATTGCAAACATTTTACCTTGCTTATCTTTGATATTAATCTGTGCTTTTTCACATTATTTCAGTGTTTCGTTTTTAAAACATCTAGCTAACCAGGCGTGCTATCACATGCAGACATAAACCATTTATTTAGTATACCAGCACTCGTTAGACCTCAACCATCATCCTTCAATAGGAAGCCTATATTAAACAGGGTTTGACTGTCTTTATTGTTCTTATGCTATATCTGAACATTTGAGGTTAACAAGTACGGGATGATGTAAACGCTTTTACGTCCCCCTTAATTATATTTCTCTATTCAAATGTAAAAAAAGCGAATGACAAACGTACCTCAGTCTCATTTTCCTGATTCCACCGTGAATTGAGACGGCGAACTCTGGAATACAAACCAGTATGTATATTGTATCTGTGCAATAGTTAGAGTCATCAATCACTTACCTCAAGGATGACTGAGACTGAGAAACGCCGTTGTCTTCTCCGTCGATTTCCAAAACGAACGATTCGTATATCTGAAACTGTTTATCAGGTCTACTGACATACTTTGGTAAATATTTTCTCCAGGGCCTCACTGTCAATTTTCAGTCCCGTTAATAAGGAAAGCACTTTCTTCCCAAAATGCACATATATCAAACCAGCACTGCTGAACTTCACGTCCCACATTTTAACTCCAAAATACTCAGACCATGACAGAGAGAATTCCCTAAACTTTAGTGTTAAAGAAGATGGCGTACTAACTTCTGATGATGATCGAATTTAAGTAAGTTGGGATCATATATTCCACCAACATCAACTAATACATCGCATGTAGACAGAACCTCTGGATCACGTGAGCGAACTACTTTAGCTTCACGGAACTCTGGCAAGTGTTTCAGCAATATTATGGATAAGATTTCATCACAGTGGAAACAGCCATCATGAGTACCGATCTTTTTTTCTGATGACATACCGCCGACGAAAATGGATATAGGCAGTTTTTTATTGGCTGTTGGCTAACTGGTCTAAAATATAAATTAAAGCGCCAATCTCTTTATTTTGACACGGAAATTTAGTCAGTAAAATTTCGGGCTTAACATAATATGATGGAGTGTTAATTTTTCTTTGGTGTGAGTGTACTGTGACAGTCACACTATTTGGATGCAATGTTGATGTTTAAAGTATATTGGGATGTACGAGAATGTCCAGAAAGTGAATATAAATCAACAATAATTTTGATACAAACCATACTTGAATTAACCGGGTTACAAGCTAGTTATCGTTTATAACAAGTCTAGATAACCGGTCTTCCTCTTGTTCCAGTGATGCCACGTCAACGTTTCTTTCTGAAAAAGAAGAAAAAGAAACTTGTTTAGTGGCATTATAGTGATTTCTACTGCATTACAATAGCAGCAAAACTGAAACCACCTAGTGAGATGATAAGTGACCTTGAGCATCCCATCAGGTGACTCACCAATATCTTGGCACCTAACACCCAACCAGTAGTGGTGTGAGGCTGACTTCACCTTAGTTAGCAACTCCAGCTGTAAATCAGGAATGGGTGACTGGCAACTCTAAACTATAGCAGCCCAAGCGGAAACTACCTAGCGAACGGTCAAATGACTTTGACAAGGACAACTTTGACAATTCAGAAAGCTAGAAAAACGGCGCGTAATTGTAACAGATTATGTATATATAAGTAATGCAATGTTAAAAGATAGTTGCAAAGGATAACACTCTCGTATATGTTCCAGGAAACCTCCCAATTTCTCATGGGAGCCTTCATAATCATGTTAAACCAAGTTCTGTACATAAATTCATCTAGATAACTGTGTGTCATTGGATTTCTTGGTCCATTTACCGATCTGATCCGGTTTTTAGATGACTCCGGAAACTTTCGATGGAATTAGTGTGAGTTCCATCAAAAGGATTGCGAAAACCATTTGTGTGGTTGACTACATGATGAATATAGCCGAGATTGATAACTGACTGTAACTACGGCATTCATCTGCATGAAAAGTCTCCCCAGGCAGCGCTAACCGTTGGATAATAAGTAATAATTCACTTGCACTCCGATCAGGGATCGCCTCAATGTATCTTTTGTGGAGGATGGTGTCACAGATCCTCAATATCAATTGCTGATTTGCTGCGGGTAATCTGTCTCGATTGTATTTCCTTTTGATTAACACGGTCTCATCAATATGCACGACGAGGCCAACTCCTCCATGTATTTGAGTCAGCGTGTTCATTTTCCAGGATGATACGCCTCTGCAGCAGTTGTACCACTGCACTGTACACACTTGTGAATTTTCTGTTTCATAAAGCCTTCGTGCTCTGTGTTCATTATTTTATTTATTTACTTTGGTTTGGAGAGTTGGCTGACAGTTTCTGATAGTTTCTGTTTGTCTTTTCTGGTGCCTGCAAGTCTTTTTTGGACAAGTTTTATCTGGAACTTTTCTGGATTGTTTGGTCAATCTCCGTAACGCCTGGGTCAAAGAATGTACAAAGTGTCTTGGAAGCAGACAGGAAAGCAAGTAATGATGAGTTGCCTGTTATGTGTAGTGATGTGTTTGATGTCAAGCATGATAAGGTTGATGTTGATGTTTTGCCGTCTAGGGATAATAGGAGCTTTAAACTACCTATATATGAGCCTCGGTGTTTCGACGGAAACCCAGCTGAGAATCCACAGTTTGTAAAGGAGTTTGAAGTCATGTTGAGTAGTTTTTTATTAAATGATGAAATGAAGGTGATGTATTTGAGTTGCTGCAAGAGCTATACGGTCCTGTAAGGTTACGCCCACAAACGGAGGATATACTGAGGCGATGCGTATCCTGCGTCAAAGGTTTGGAAGACCATCGGTGACTATAAGGAACGTATTCGAGGCTATCAAAGGTAGTGGTAGTCAATTACAAGATAACTTCAAGGCACTCTCCTGGCTTTTGGATAATTTGATGACCTACACGAATACGTTGATTTCGATTAATTGCACGAGTGATCTGAAATCATGTTCCGTCCTAGAAGTAATAGCGAGACGCCTACCTTCTCGACTGCAATGGAAGTGGGTGAAGATGAGATCTCGTATAGAGGATGAAGGTATTGAGCCAAAGTTCGACGATATTCTGAGACCGGTTAAAGAATGTGTCAACCAAGCTATAAGCAAGTGTGCCAGTATATTGCATCCCACCTCTAGAATAGAGCAGTCTGAGAGCAAAACGCAATCATTTGTGACGAGAGGGTCTCACAGAAGTGAATATCGAGAAAGCATTACGGTGTCTAGAATCCATATATACTTAGTGAGTGTAATAGCTTTCGTGGAACATCACCAACATGTAGGTTACAATTTGCGAGACAAACACGGTTGTGTTTTACACGTTTGCAGGAAGTGCATACAGAGGTGAGCTGTAAAGAAGAGACCAAGTTTAGTAGCAAGCTAAATATGAAACCAGTGTCATCAAGTTCTGACTATGTATTGTGTGAAGATGAAGGTGCAGTCAAGAAGCCTGTAGTTGCAACTGGTAAGCCATTGTTGAATATACTGTCACAGACGACACTGTAGTTTGTGCAGGAGAAGAGCGTTACACTTTCAGAGTCCAGTTCTGACTCCACAAGTTTTCAAGGTATTACTAGTCAGAGTGAAGGTATCAAACCTTTAAGGATCTGTGAGGAAGAACCCAAATTATCTACTGCTGTTATTAGAGAGTTTGAAAATGATGAAGTCGACCAGCTAGACGACGTAAAGTGCATCTTTATGATAATAATCGTGATAGTCCACATTTGTCTATAGTTGATAGTGGTGAGATGATCGGAATGCATACTTCTACTGAGCGGAACAAAGGTTCTGTACAACTTGAAAGTGAAGTAGAATTAACAGTAGGTGCGGTTGCAGAAGGTATGGAAACTCGTGAGACCATCAGTGTAAAAATGATCAGTGTGTATTCCACCTACCAACAGATGTTAATGTTAAACTGCAGCCGATCATAAAATATAGCAGTGGGGATAATCCTACGTTTAGACAAACTTCTATAGGTCGAACAACAACAGCTTCTGATGCACCGCTAAGTTCATCAACTTGTGTCACTCAGTTGTCATTGGTGTTGTCATCCACAACGACAGAGACGTCCATGAACTCAAGTGTCTTGTGCTACAACTATGCTAGTATCAGTGAATTTGAAAAGACGAAATATATTGCTCAGTTTAGTGAGGATAAGCCAAGTGTGTACTAGAGGTTAATTCTTAAACTGACTTCCACTTGTAAAAGTCTTTCAAGTTTCAAGTTGCTATATGAATGCTATTATCGTTGGTGTAAATTACTCTGTTTCTACGCTTGGTTGACCAGATACGTCGTATGTTTGTTAGTCATCTATATTTTACGATACAATGACATGGGCGTGTTACCGGTCAGATTTAAGGATATAGATGACAGAAGGAGGTCAGCAAATGAACTCTGCGACGATTTTCCAACCTAGGGCGTCAACCTGGGAAGGGTTGTAGGAGTACTGCTGTAAGTCCTACAATTTTTCGGAGGGTAGTACGTCGAAGCGCATTCCATCGTACTGGGTGTGTTATTTTGTAAATATGTTCATGTTGTATATAACGAATTGGTATCATCTTTCATCTCTCTGTTGGTTTATTTTATTTGTGTTCGAACCTTTCTCCTCTGGAACGAAAACGTAAGAAGGAATGTAGGCGTACTGTTATAAGTCCTACATTTCTTCAAGGGTAGCTCGCCAAGTCAGAATCCACAGCATTTGATGTGTTGATTGTACATATGTTTGTGTTAAGTAATTGAGTGAGTTCCAATTAATGTAATTTTTGGTTAGTCTTGTTTTTGTCCGAACATCCGTCAACCTACAATCGTCAACCTGAGAAGGGTTGCAGGCGTACTGGTGCAAGTCCTGCGATTCTTCAGCGGAATTACATCGAGACACGATTGGCGAGGTTATGTGTACTGTTTGTATATGTGTGTGGTGTGTCATATCAATTGGTGCTTTTGGATTCACTCTGTTTACTTGTTGTCAATGTAGTTGAAGTTCGAACGATCAATTCATGGTTGTTTGCTCAAACCCAAATCGATATTTTCGCGGAAGTCATCGATACGGCAGTCATCGGCTCATCGTTCGCTGTTTGTCAGAAGAAAGAAAACTATCAGAAGTAGTATTGTGATTTATTGTTGTGACATTTATTATTAGACTTTGTGTACAATAACATAATGCTTGGCTCTATATTGGTGTAAGAATACAGGGTTCTTGAGTCACCAATTTGTGTTCTGGTATTTTGCGTTGGTTATTGAGCATAGTTCCTGGAATTCTTCCAAGGACAATGTGAAGTCCAGTGTGTTAATTCTTGGACATTGACAGCAGATGTGAGAGTGATTGGAAAGCTCGCTACCAGTCACCTCACCAAACCTGACGGTAAGAAGGGCAAGACACCGTGAGTCACAAGAATAGATGAATTCACTACCAACTCGATAGAGCTCACAGTCTCTCCCGTCTCAAACCTCGCAAAACTCGCTCCACAAAACACGACACTAACCGAAAGACTGGTGGATTGTAATTTAGATATGTCTCTGAATAGCCGTAAGACAGAAATTAATGTCCCTTTTAAGTCGGCAGCATCGTCTCCTTGCCCCAACGTGAGGGTTCAAGTGGAATTCGGTAACAAGACATGTCGAAATACAACACTCGTAAAGAAAAATCTTGTAAATTTTAGAATTCCTAAAAAGAATCCACGCTGTCAGGGAAATTAAACACAAAGAAGTACTAACAACTACACCAAAAGCAAAAATAAGGCCATATGATCCATGGACGTCAACGACACAACTTGCCCGCATAATATGCCAAGCCACACTAGCAGCTGGTGTAGCGACACCACCACGCAAAATAGTGTTAGTGACAACACTCAGAGCCCCGTTACCCGCCAATCCGGGTCTCCAGAGTATGACACAAAACCAAGTTTTGACAGAATATACGGA